CCCCCCCCCACAGTCACATCAGTCTCTGTACAGAGGAACTTACACTCTAATGTCCCCTTCCCCCACAGTCACACCAGTCTCTGTACAGAGGAGCTTTCATTTCAGTGACAGTTGCTTTGGTATCAGTGACAGTTGCTTTCATTTCAGTGACAGTTGCTTTCGTTTCAGTGACAGTTGCTTTTGTATCAGTGACAGTTGCTTTCGTATCAGTGACAGTTGCTTTAATTTCAGTGACAGTTGCTTTGGTATCAGTGACAGTTGCTGTCATTTCAGTGACAGTTGCTTTAATTTCAGTGACAGTTGCTTTGGTATCAGTGACAGTTGCTTTGGTATCAGTGACAGTTGCTTTCGTTTCAGTGACAGTTGCTTTCATTTCAGTGACAGTTGCTTTGGTATCAGTGACAGTTGCTTTGGTATCAGTGACAGTTGCTTTGGTATCAGTGACAGTTGCTTTGGTATCAGTGACAGTTGCTTTCACTCATTGAACACATGGTATCCAGTTCCATCTTTACAAACAAATCAAGCAAGTGGGCAAATACAATCACCTTCCTTCCTCCTCCTCCTCCTCCTGCTGTCCCCTGAGATTTGCACTGGAAGCTGCCATTTTGTATGGATTGACATTGTGATGGGGGGGGGGATTGGGGGTGAGCTGGGATTCCCCTTTAAGTCTTGCAGCGTGCCTGAAGAATCTCTGTATATACATTATACGTGCCTTCCCATCTCAATGTATAGACGTGTGCCTCCCTCACACATTCCAGGGCCCGGTACCACACGGAGCCCTCGCCCCCCTCTCTGGATCACGCGTGTTGTGCTTCTCTAGAACATAAACTGGACACTTCCGGGTACAACTCAAATCCCAGCAATAGCATGGGCTCCAACCCCCCCCCCACCAACCGGGATGTGGAAGTGGCCCCTGAAGACACAATGAGCGTTATGTGTCCCTTCTTCAAACTTGATATGGGCCCTCGGAGAGAGCGCCAACCATTGCTGGCTGCGTAACCCTGCGGTGGGGCACGCCCGGATGGCGTTCCGATCATTACAGGTGTTGAGTCTTAAAGAGACACTCCGTATAGTTTTTGGATAGAGCGGAGAAGGTTTAGAATTCCTATATTTCTGTCTGTGATCCCGTTGGGCGGATTTCCCCTCACTTCCTGTGTGGTCACCAGGACAGGAAATTACCTAAATCACGCCAATGAACCCCACCTCCCCCAGGTGTCAACGCTGGGAAGGGAGGAAGGGGGTAAGGAAGGACACGGGAAGTAATGGAAATCCCCATTGGAAGACCTTCCCTCTATTCCTGGTCTGGTGACAACAGTAACATTTTGACTTCCCCATCACTTTCTGATTGGGTGACTCCCCCTGAGGGGGGGCGGGGGGGGGCGCGGGCACACAGCCATAAAGACCTGGTAGGGGTTTCCTCCATCCCTGTGCTGAGTTCCCGGGTCTGTATACCTGCTGTGCCCATTATGAGGGGTTCCCTCCATCCCTGTGCTGAGTTCCCGGGTCTGTACACCCGCTGTGCCCATTATGAGGGACTCCCACCATCCCTGTGCTGAGCTCCCGGGTCTGTATACCTGCTGTGCCCATTATGAGGAGCTTCCACCATCCATGTGCTGAGTTCCCGGGTCTGTACACCCGCTGTGCCCATTATGAGGAGCTTCCACCATCCATGTGCTGAGTTCCCGGGTCTGTACACCCGCTGTGCCCATTATGAGGAGCTTCCACCATCCCTGTGCTGAGTTCCCGGGTCTGTACACCCGCTGTGCCCATCATGAGGAGCTCCCACCCCTATATTAGATATGATGGAGAATATAAGAGGAGGGGACGGGGACACCCAAAACTTCATGGTGGACATAAGAAGTCGGGTCGGGCTGAGCCCATTGGGCTCCGCCTTTATATTTTTGGGTGGAGAGGTCGTAGGATTATTTTTGGTAGTAAACACGAGAATATTGTTACATTTTCCTTCTGCCGTCTGGTGCCGTAACCTTTTCCCTTTTCTCTCCTCCCCAGTTCCGCCAGCCGAAGGAGACCCTCTGCCCGGCCATCATGACCCCGGCGGCCTGCATAGCCCTGCTAGTCTTCGGAATCGCCTTGCTCCTGCCCTTCCTCATCCTCGGCCTGGCCGGCTACGCCCGCATCGTCCGCGGCTTCCGCCTCGGCTCCTGCTTCCTGCCCTACAGCCGGGCCATGTACCAGGGAGGCGACGTCCAGAGGACCCCGGCCAAGGAGACCCCCAAACAGAGCAAGGCCTGGGTGTGAGGGC